AGGCAGCGGGGCACCCCAGGCCCCCCTGGACAGCTCCACTGCCGGCTTCCCTGCGGGGGGGCTTGGGACACTTGGGGTTTTTAAGTTGATTCTGTATGTAAGTCAGAACTGGCGTTCAGTTTCAGCAGCGTCTGAATCTGGACGCTAGTTCCGACTTCCATACAGATTCAACTTAAGAACAAACCTACAGTCCCTATCTTGTACGTAACCCGGGGACTGCCTGTACTGTATCTTTTTTGTAAGGAGAGCAATAAGTTGTTAATTCTATATCTGCTATATGAAGATTAGTCAGCAGTTGTTCTGCACCAACCTCTATTATTAGGTCATAACTACAGCTTTACCTCTAGGATATTCTGGGCCTCCCTTGCCCCTCTTTTACAGGATAAGTATTTACTAGTGGCAAGCTGTTGCCTACATCAAGTAGCAGCAACTGAGTGAGCAGTCTGCCCAAGAAGAGTGTTGCTTGGCTCATGGTGAAGACTTATATTGGGTGCTGTGTTGAGACATCAGTTTTCTTGTCTGAGGAATGTTTATTTTAATTTTGGAGACTAGAAAGCCGTAGTTATAGTAGTGTTTTTCTTTGTAACAGCACTATGAAAAAGCAGATAAACAGATCAAGGAAGAAGTGGAGCTTCAAGTGTCTGTTGAGCTGCTGTCTCTTCAGGAGGAGGAGAGTCTTAAATTTCCAGTACATACTAAGGACCATGTGCAAATCTCAAATCTTGAAATACTAGCTGTAGAGAAGGAGCCTCTATCCTCATTAAAAACTGAAGTCCATGTACAAAGCTCAAATCTTGACACAGTAAGTGAGGAGGAGAAGGAAGAGGAAGAGGAGGAAGAAGAGAAGAAAGAGCTAGTGCAAGGACGGGAGCTAGAATTTTTGTCTTTATTACATTTTGAGATTCAGGCACAATCTTCATATCTTGAAACATCAGTGGAGGAGCCTCTGTCATTCTTAAAAACTGAAGCAATAGTGCAGTCCTCAAGTACTGAAATACTAGAAGAACAGGAAATTCCATCTCTATTGGATACTGAAACTGAGGTTCACATCTCACATGTGGATGTACAAGATGCAGAGAAGACTTCTCTCTGGACAGATAGTGGGTTGACTATACCAACAAAGAAGTGAGTAGAAAAAGCCTACCCTACTTTATGGGTTTCTTGCTTTGATAGATGAGATTCCGCTGTATTTTTTTAAATAGATGTTTAGAGATTAATATATCTCTGGCCAGTTTTGATGTTTCTGGTTGTAGTATAGTTGTGACATAATATTACCATTTACCCAGCTATTTAGGAAAATATTTAATAGCAATTTTTTTTTATTTTAAATTATTTAGGATTAATCCTCTTATATATGGGGGTGTGAAATAGTCACACTAGCTTTCCCTTTTGGAGAGGGAAAGGAGTGAGTAGCCACACTAATGCATTGTAACTAGGGCTGTCAAATTAGTAAAAAACTTAATTGTGATTAATTATGTGATTAATCATTCAATTAATTGCACTTTTAAACAATAATGGAATACCACTTATATAAATATTTTGGATGTTTTTCACATTTTAAAATATATTGATTTCAATTACAACACAGAATACAAAGTGTATGATACTTACGTCATATTTATTTATTATAATTACAAATATTTGCACTGTAAAAATAAAAGAAATAGTATTTTTCAATTCACTTTAATATGAGCAGTGTAGTACAATCTCTTTCTCATGCAAGTTGAACTTACAAATGTAGAATTATGTACAAAAATACAGTACAAGCTTTGTGATCAGGCATTCATGGGGAATGGGGATTGCTGGTTAATCAGATGAGCTGGTTACTTGAGCTCCACACTGATGGTTCAAGAATTTGTTACCATATGCTAGCAATAGTTGCAGGATGAGTTAGCTAATATCCGATAATGGTATTATACACAGAAGCATGACATAAAGAAACTTTACTGCTACAAGTTTACAAATAGAGGCCCAACTTAAATGTATATCCCAAATTCAAAAACATAGTAGAAGAACTAAAAATGAGTCACCGTGGCTTAACAACCATATAAAAGAAGCAGTGAGAGATAAAAAGACATCTTTTAAAAAGTGGAAGTCAAATCCTAGTGCGGTAAATAGAAAGGAGCATAAACACTGCCAAATTAAGTGTAAAAATGTAATAAGAAAAGCCAAAAAGGAGTTTGAAGAATAGCTAGCCAAAAACTTGAAAGGTAATAACAAAGGGTATGTCTACACTACTACCCTAGTTCGAACTAGGGTGGTTAATATAGGCAACCGAAGTTGCAAATGAAGCCCAGGATTTGAATTTCCCGGGCTTCATTTGCATCTTGCCGGGCGTCGCCATTTTAAAATCCCCTCTAGTTTGAACTCCATGTCCGCGGCTACACGCGGCATGGAGTAGGTAGTTCGAACTAGGGTGGTAGTGTAGACATACCCAAAATTTTTTTAAGTACATCAGAAGCAGGAAGCCTGCTAAACAACCAGTGAGGAGTCTGGACGATTGAGATACAAAAGGAGGACTTAAAGATGGTAAAGTCATGGCAGAGAAACTAAATGATTTCTTTGCTTCAGTCTTCACGGCTGAGGCTGTTAGGGGGATTCCCAAACCTTTGTAGGTGACAAATCTGAGGATTTGTCACAGATTGAAGTGTCATTAGAGGAGGTTTGGGAATTAATTGATAAACTTAACAGTAACAAGTCACCGGGACCAGATGACATTCATCCAAGAGTTCTGAAAGAACTCAAATGTGAAATTGCTGGGATCTGTGAAGTTCAAATGTGAAATTCCAGAACTACTTCTTATGGTTTGTAGCCTATCATTTAAATCAGCTTCTGTACCCAATGACTGGAAGATAGCTAATGTAACGCCAATATTTTAAAAGGGCTCTAGAGGCGATCCCAGCAATTAAAGACCAGTAAGTCTAACGTCAGTACCGGGCAAATTAGCTGAAACAATAGTAAAGAATAAAATTGTCAGACACATAGAAGAACATAATTTGTTGGGCAAAAGTCAACATGGTTTCTGTAAAGGGAAATCATGTCTTACTAATCTATTAGAGTTCTGTGAAGGGGTTAACAAACATGTGGACAAGGTAGATATAGTGTACTTAGATTTCCAGAAAGCCTTTCACAAGGTCCCTCACCAAAGGCTCTTATGTAAATTAAGTTGTCATGGGATAAGAGGGAAGATCCTTTCATGGACTGAGAATGGGTTAAAAGACAGGAAACAAAGGGTAGGAATAAATGGTAAATTTTCAGAATGGAGAGGGGTAACTAGTGGTGTTCCCCAAGGGTCAATCCTAGAACCAATCCTATTCAACTTATTCATAAATGATCTGGAGAAAGAGGTAAACAGTGAGGTGGCAAAGTTTGCAGATGATACTAAACTGTTCAAGGTAGTTAAGACCAAAGCAGACTGTGAAGAACTTCAAAAAGATCTCACCAAACTGAGTGACTGGGCAACAAAATGGCAAATGAAATTTAATATGGATAAATGTAAAGTAATGCACATTGGAAAAAATAATCCGAACTATACATATAATATGATGGGGGCTAATTAAGCTACGACTAATCAGGGAAGAGGTCTTGGATTCATTGTGGATAGTTCTCTGAAGACGTCCATGCAGTGTGCAGCTGCAGTCAAAAAAGCAAACAGGATGTTAGGAATCATTAAAAAAGAGGTAGAGAATAAGGCAGCAGGTTTAAAAGAAATAAAAGGAAGTTCTTCACACAGCGCATAGTCAGTCTGTGGAACTCCTTGCCTGAGGAGGTTGTGAAGGCTAGAACTATAACAGGGTTTAAAAGAGAACTAGATAAATCCATGGAGGTTAAGTCCATAAATGGCTATTAGCTAGTATGGGTAAGGAATGGTGTCCCTAGCCTCTGTTTGTCAGAGGGTAGAGATGGATGGCAGGAGAGAGATTGCTTGATCATTACCTGTTCGATTCACTCCCTCTGGGATGCCTGGCATTGGCCACTGTCGGCAGACAGGGTACTGGGATGGATGGACTTTTGGTCTGACCCAGTATGACCATTCTTATGTTCTTATGTACAAACTTGTCTTCTATAAGCGCTGGAAATTGTCAAAAAATGATGCGGGATGGCTATCAGAATTTTTCCAGTTAAGTGAAGAAGGAGTTGTATTGCCATCTGTGACAGATGCCAGTTAACCAATTTTTCCAAATAGTAAAGTGCTGGATAACGCAACTTGCACTGTAACTTCATTCAAAAGTGAAATAGTGTAAAACTTTAGCACCTACAAGTCCACTCAGTCTTATTTCTTGTTCAGCCAATTGCTCAGACAGATAAGTTTGTTTGTATTTGCAGGAGATAATGGCTGCCCACTACTTGCTTACAACATCACCTGAAAATTAGAACAGGCATTTGCATGGCACTGTTGTAGCTGGCATCACAAGATATTTATGTATCAGATGCACTAAAGATTCATGTGTTCCTTCATACATCAACCACCATTCCAAAAGATATGCATCCATGCTGACGATGGAATGAGCTTGATATTAATCCAAAGCGGTGCAGACTGATGCAGATTCATTTTCATTGTCTGAAGTCAGATGCCACCAGCAGAAGCTTGATTTTCTTTTTTGGTTGTTGAAGTTCTGTAGTTTCCGCATTGGAGTGTTACTCTTTTAAGACTTCTGAAAGTATGCTCCACACCCTGTCTCGCTCAGATTTTGGAAGGCCCTTCAAATTCTTAAATCTTGGGTCTAGTTTGGTAACTGTCTTTAGAAATCTTACGTAAGTAACTTCTTTGCATTTTGTCAACTCTGCTGTGAAAGTGGTCTTAAAATGAATGACATGTGAAGTGTCATCATCCAATACTGCAATAACGTGAACTATATCACAGAATGTTGGTAAAACACAGAGCAGGAGATATACAATTCTCCCCCAAAAGGGTTCGGTCTCAAATTTAATTAACATGTTTTTTCTAAATGAGCATCATCCACATGGAAGCAGGTCCTCTGAAAGGTGGCCAAAGCATGATTGTTCAAACTTAAAAAACAATGAATGGTCTAGTAGCACCTTAAAGACTAACAAAATAGTGCTACTAGCCTATTCATTGTTTTTTATTTTTTCCAGTTTACGTACTAACTCGGCTACCCCTCTGAAGTGCATGCATGTTTAGCATATCTGGCATGTAAATACCTTGCAGTGCCAGCTACAAATGTGCCATATGAACATCTGTTCTCATTGTCAGACGATATTGTAAATAAGAAGTAGGCAGTATTATCTTCTGTGAATATAAATAAACTTTTTGTCTTAGTGATTGGCCAAACAAGAAGCAGGACTGAGTGGTCTCATAGATTCTAAAGTTTATATTGTTGCGTGGGAGGGAGGGATTTGAATACAGTTTTGTATTAAAAAAAGACGTTTGTAAGTTATGCTTTCACGATAAAGAGATTGCACTATAATAGTTGCATGAGGAGAATTAAAGTTCTATATCTTTTGCTTATCATTTTTACACCTTGTGGAACGAGGTGTACCGATAGTTCGGAATAGGAAGCCTAATCCGAACTACCTAGTCCGTGCCGCGTGTAGCCGCGGGGACGGAGTCCGAACTAGCGGACATTTTAAAATGGCAGCGTCCGGCAAGATGCAAATGAAGCCCGGGAAATTCAAATCCTGGGTTTCATTTGCAACTTCGATTGCCTACATTAGGGAGGGTGGCTGTGCATGTGCAGTTGCTCCCCCCAAATTCCTCCCCGTGCATGTGCCACCCCTGCAGGCACTGCTTTGAAGATTCTGGCCTGTGGTGCTGGGATGCACTGACACGTGCTGTGGAGCACCCATAGGGATGCTCGAAGAATATCAATTACTGCCAAAGGTGAATAACCTCCTCTTGTTAAACATGTGTCCTTGCAGCAGGAGCAGAAATCTATCTGGTCTCTTCAGTCTTCTGGATATTTCAGGAGAGCATGAGGACCCTTTGACTCAAAAGCAAATAGCAGGTAATGTGGAACCTCTGACTCACTTCTTTAACTCAGTCTTCCGTCATGGAAATTAGTGGTTTTAAAAATTGTTTTGCATTGATGATTTAAAGGGACTGTGACTAGTAATAAAGGAATGAAAATGAGCTGCTGTATCACATATTGCTTTACAAAGCAAACTTTAAAAGCTTTGTATTTTTTATTTAAACATATTTTAGAGTAAGAAAGGAATGGATATATAATCAAGACATGAAAGAAGTTTTAGTTTAAAGAGAGAAGGAGAATTAATTATGCATGTAGATTCAGGAGGGCAGGGCCAGATTACATGGACTATAGTGGAGAAGTCTCTTGCACTCTAACTAGGTGGCTGGTTCTAGACAGGCTGAAGAGAGTAAATAGAGACAATGTTAAGAATATCCATTTGTTTCAGGAAGTACAGTACGTAAACTTGTTATTCTGTTGTAGTGGACACACATACAAAACCTGTCTAACTTGCTGTACTTTATATATGTTTGCAGCATTTAAAGATGTTTTCAAGGTTTTCAGCAGCACAGAGGGTAACATTAATATGCGTGGCCTGAAATTGATTTTGCACAGTGTGGGCATTAACGTAACCCATCAAGAAATCCATGAGGCACTGAATCGTTCTGATATTGATGGTATGTTTTCAGAATAGCAATATGTGGAGCTTGTGTGTGTATGGGAAGTATTGCTGACAACATGGCAGAGCACGTGTGTTTATCCATGTGCATACCTGTGTGCATGTGTCAGTATGAGATACTTAGGATGTCATACGTATGTGCATGTGAAAATGTGTAGATTGCAAGCCCCTTAAGGACATGGATTGTCTTTTTGTTGTGTGTTTGTATAAGGCACAGTGGAGTCCTGGTCTATCTTAGGGTATGTCTACACTACAGCGCTAATTCGAACTAAGCTAATTCGAACTAACGCATCCAGACTAAAAAACTAGTTCGAATTAGCGTTTTGCTAATTTGAACTAGCATGTCCACATTAAGTGGACCCTGAACCGGGGTTAAGGATGGCCGAAAGCAGTGCCGGCAGGGCATCAGATGAGGACTTAGAGCGTGGAGCTGCTGCCTCAGGCTAGCAGAGGGCTGTGCTTAAAGGGACCCGACCCCCACCCCGGACAGACAGTTCTCAGGGGTGCCCCGCTTGCAAAGCAGTCCTGTCTTGGAGTGCCCGGAGTACCCACACTGGGCACATCACAGTCCTCGGCCATCAGCCCGGCTGCACTTGCCGCAGGCTGCCATCTGGGGAGAGGGGGCAATTGGGAGGCTGCAGGAGAGCTTCCACCCCCAGAAGCCCGCAGAGCCAGCCCAGTCCTCCCCATCGGGGGCTCGTACCCCATTCCTCCCTCACCTCCTTCCACTTACCCTTCCCTAGCCCCCTTTCCTGATGTACAAAATAAAGAAAACGTGTGGTCAAAAATAGAATCTCTCTTTATTGAACAAAACTTGGGGAGACTGGGAAAAGGAGGTGGGAGAGGGGAAGAGAGAGGGTGGGAGAGGGGAGGGCAACTAAAATGATCAG